GTGTAATTCAAACCGAGCTCACAGTGATTCACATAGCGGCAAAATAAATCACCAGAAATAATATCACTGGACTGAAACATGCTCATCTATACAGATAGCAGACAAGTAATACTCACCCTGGATAGACCACGAATTTATTCAGGGTTAGTACTAGAATGGCACGAATCTTTGGCCGAAGTATCCATCAACAATGTGGTCAACTTAAGATAGATCAAAGGTCACGCCACATCGAAAGGTAACTGGCTTGCTGATTCACTTGCCAAGAAGGCAGCCAACCAAATACTTTTTGGACCTGACCCTTCTATTGGCCTGACAACATCGATAGAGACAAAACTAATTAAAGAACATTCCCTTGAACATTCAAGGAAAGATGGGATGAAACAAGCTGCAGACTTGCGAGGGAGCTTTTAAGTTATCCTGACAACACTACAGCGAACAAATACTTGACTATGACTAGACAGAATCTGCACATGATCATAGGCATTCTGAGTGGACATTGCATCTCCATATCATGGGGCTGTCAGAATCCGCACTCTGCAGGGGGTGCGAACAAGATGAGGCCATCGAGCATCGACCATCGAAGATTTGTGTTCGGCAAGAATTGGCTAACATCTGCTGATAAAAGAGAAGCACCTCTTAGCGACGTTGTCAACTATATTAAATCTGTAGGCTGGCTCACGTGCTAGGAGGTGCCTGCCTATCTACTTAGAAGAATGCATAATAGGCTATTTTTTGAAGGTGGAAAATGCTTTTACGTTGTTCAGGGGTACTGTAGGACTCCGAATTCTACTACCCACTAAAAACCACCTTCTGGTGGCCGATACCTCTCTCGGGACTACCTTAGCGGTATAACGTAGGGAGAGTTCGCCGTCTTTCTCAAGCTCTTGGGCCTCTCCCTTTTGCTTATGGACTTCAATAATAAAGCGACGTCCACTTTTCCATTTTTCCTCTTCACCTAACATGTAATTTACCAATTCGTTTGGTCTTGTTTCTTCTAGGTTAAAATTTAGGACTGACCTTTCGTTGCTCCATCTGCGACACATGAAAATGGTGTGCTCGGGATCGTTCATCTCTTCATTGCAATACACACCTCGTATCTGGGACCCTACCAATCATGTGCGTGTATGATCTAAAACATCCATGCCCGCTAAGAAATTGGGTTATATAATAATCTATCTGTTTGAAACGGCATTCCAGCCATGCTTTGTCCACTGTGCTACTCTTTCTAGTTCTGCTTCGCTTCCACGTTTCAAGTGTCACTTTTCTCTGTCTTGTTTCGTCTACTTCTGGCCCCCTGTCGGCTCTGTAGAGCTTGCTTCGCTCTTCTATTTGGATATCAATCGGGGAGATACCACCGATGACCGCTACGGCTTCTCCGGATACCATCCTGTACGCGCAGGTGACTCTAGCAGCATCTTTCTTTGTGTACTAAGTAACATGTTTTTGTATTTTTTTATCTTGACTGCCCTTTCTCTACGGGTGCCGCATACAGGATCACTGATGCAGCTACGCCCGATAGCATTCTTCTTCCCATTATTCTAGGGCCTCTCGTATTCGGCAATAGTCTAGACAGGCCCGCTGTTTGTCTTTTAGCTTTCTCGCAAGTTCACTAAATACAAGCTTATCATCGAGCCACACGCCCAAATATTTCACGTGTCTCTGATATTGAGAAAGATATCCGTTTTCTTCCTTGGTCCCTTCAGGATTATCGCCTGTCTTCTCCGCAGCAATATCTAGTCCCTACGTTTCAATCCAGTGACTTATGTCTGTTATTGCCTCCTCCGCATTTTGAATTAGATCGTCTTTTCTGTCTGCTCGTACTATAAGCGCAAGGTCGTCTGCATATGCCACCGTGGAACATCCTTCAGGCATGCTAATCTCAAGAACATCATTGTATACCACGTTCCATAATAAGGGGCCCAACATTGATCCCTGTGGAACTCCTTGTTGCATACCGATCTGTTATTTTCCAACCAAAAGTGATCTTTCCCTGAACTATTCCCCGATTATATTTAGTAGGTAGTCACTTAGGCTTATCTTCGTGAGCGCCTCCATAATTCTGCTCCATTTGGCGTTCTTAATAACTATAAAGATCACCCCCCCCCCCAGATCCACCCAGGGCAAGTTGCCTCTCTCATCACGTGTTCGATCGCTTGGATTGTTGACTTCCCTTCTCTGAATCCGAACTGTCTATCTGCTAGACCTTCGTTTGCAGCTATCTCTTCTTCACCAGGTGTTCTAGGAGTTTGCCCATGATGTCTATTAGACATATCGGTCTATATTTTCTTTCCCCAGCACTCGTGCCATCCTTAGGAATCAAAAAATACCTTTACCTTTTTTCCACATACCTGGTGAGGCCTAAGTGTCGTGGGTTAACTCACCCTTCACACGTTACAGATACAGATACTTTTTGGAAGATTTAATCAAGGTATTCCTTGTTCAAATTCGGCTATAGCACGGTGAATACTTCTGCGCGAAATATTTTGGTTTTGAAAAATTATTTTTTATTTCTAGCTTACAAAGACCTTTTAATGCAAATGACAAAAAAACGATTTATACTAATGTTTTGATATTTAATCAATGCAATTTATTTTTAGATCCCTAAAACAACTGGAATATGCGTTAAATAATTTGAAATTAGGTCCAAGTATATTAATTATACTGGGATTAGGTACTTATATGATGATAATATTATAAAGCATCGAATATTAAATTTTCAATTATAGTGTGATTTATATTACGCCACTTAGGCGTCATCCTATAAACATATTAGCCAATCTTCCGAATCACTAGTTCTGTATTGAAAGCCAATTTTCACCTGCAATAACCAGTTCAGGAAAATCGATGATATGGCGGTATATATAAATTCTTAACACAGTCAACTATTTGAATATAATTTATTCTCTTATGCAACATAACCTAGATTTTTAAATGAACGTTTAAACAGAAATCTTTGGCGTTATTTCAAATTTGGATAGCAAAACTTTCAATCATAACTTCTATTTGGCTTCTGTTAAATCCAAATTGAATGAATTCGCGAACTGTGTAAAGCCACCGCCATCCACCGTTACAAAACAGATTTTAATCAAAACCGCTTTTGTGATGTTCATTTTCAGATTGCAATCGGGATTCAGCATTAATTCAAATTGAACTAACCTAGCATTCGCATTTCCCATATATAGTAAATGATCATATTATTCATAATTATTACTATACGTAACAAAAATTAATTTTTTTATTAATTAGGGCGGGATTCGGTAATTTAGGAGTTAACATATATCTATGCTGTTTTATTGATATTGATTTTGAAAGTCGAATATTACTGAACTAAAAGAGTTGTTTTGTGTAATCCTAATTCAAGTAAATAGGTATTTCAGATTCAGATTAATTTTCGCGCGCCTGTCATTTGTCACCTTTAAGTAGTGGATTTATTTATTTACATTCTGTAAGGATAAGGCGGGCTTTTGTATATGGGTTTTAAACTGTTTTTAGATGTATTAAATCATTATAATGAATTCAACAATATTATCTAGGAAATCCAAGAACACACACGCATTGAGGTAAAAGGTTGCGTTCGATTTTTAGAATAGAATTCACCTTTTTAGCATGTCGACCCTTTCATAATTGCCCATTTTATTTTTACTAAGTACTTTAAAGTTACGCTTCTTTGGAAAATGACGAAATAAACTTAAATAACGAGTACGCTTTGATTTAAAAGTACAACCTTTATTACAGCAATAAAGATACAATTTGCTAGAGGCTTTTTCGCAAATTTTATTTTTAATAATAAATATACTATCACAGTCACCACACACTACAAGAAACAAACAAATTTAACGCTTACACCAGTGTTGCCAACCTTAAAGTAAGATTTTTCCCTCCGCTTACCTTGAAAATTCCCACTTTTATGAAAAAAATCCCTCCCGTTTAGGGTTACCACCTTTTCATTCCTCAAAACCCGGACCTTAAAAAAAAGGTGCTCAGCTTATAATTTTATAAACCATATCCTCTCGAGCTTCTAAACAAAAAAAAAGGTCCAAGGTCGAGTAAAAAGTCCCTTTTGTGTTAAAAATTCCCGCGAAACGGGAAATTTCCCTCCGGTTGCCAACACTGGCTCACGTATCAGCAAATTTAGAATTCATAAAAATTACTATCAATGACAACAGACAACACAACAAGGCCAACGTTGCCAACTGATGAACTGTTTATAAAACAAAATTAGATGTATAGTATGATTCCGTATGGGTAGATACAAATTTCGCTACTTAAAAAAAAAGGTCTTTCCCCTTCTTCAAGAGCTAAAAATCCGATGACGTAGCGAAATTTCGCTACACCTGGCAACAATGTAAGAAGTCCTACTTATAGACACCTTCTACAAATTTCCTCCAGAGGGCATATCTCTTAACTTGGTTACACTGTATTCAACCCTAGATTTTTTTTTAAATATTTAAAAAATAATATACAAAAAAAAAATGAAAAGCGATATTAACATGACATTTTTAATGAAAATCAAGCTGTATAAGATGAAGCCTATTGATTCTGAAAAAAAAAATCTGAATAAAATAGGGGTGACAAGGGGGGTTAAAAACAAAAATCTGAATAAAAATGGGGGGATAAAAGGGGTTTAAATATTAAAAAAAGGTCTATAATCTCAAAAAGGAAAAATAATATAAACTTGAAATTGTTTACCAAAACTCAAGCTTTCTAAGGAGACAAAGCCTATTTATCGACTCAGAAACAAGAAACGGTATCAAATTGAAATCTTCAGTAATAAACAAGCTTTATAAGCGGATGAAGCCTATCGATTCTAAAAAAATCTGTGTAATATAGAATGGCAAGCATTATAATATCTTCATTCTAGTTTAAGTAATCGAACACCGCTTTCGAATCCTCTCCAGCTCTGCTAGGTAGTTTTTTTTATAAATAGGAAATAATAGGTGTTCTGTATATTCAACCATCTGTTCATTTTTAAAAACATAACATAGTATTTATTTACATACCTTGCTAGGAATAAGTAAACGAACTTCTTCATCTCCTCTGCGAGAACGTTTTTGCGGGGACCCCATGTCACCGTCAGCTCCTCGCTTCATGGCTAATCTTCCTAAAAATAAAAAAAATCAATAAGTAAATATATAAATCCCTTTACTAATAATTTAACATCTTTTAATAAGATGGAAATATTGGGACCACTTTAAGATTGCTGATTTAACAACAATTTGTTAGGTGTGGATGCCAATGCAATACGTTTTTAGGCAAGGATGCTTTAAATATAGATTTAAAATTAATTTTAACAGCACGTGGTGGATAACAAACTTTTCTTATAAGCGAGATTAAAATATAATGTCTCAAAAACATCGCTTAGGTATAATCCAAACATTCTAATTTAGTTAAATATCAGTTTATATATAACTTAAAAAGAGTAACTGCTTTTAGTTAAATCATAATGGAAAATTACCATGTGTGTTTACCTAGATTTTTAATAAAAAAAAAGTGATAATTCAATGCTGGATAAATTTAAACACCACAAATAATTATTATCCGATGATAAGGTGATAAATGGGCAACATCAACTAGTAGTGAAAATGCCTATTATAGGTTTCCTGAAAAATAGCAGAAAATAAAAATATTATACTCTCTGATTTAGTTGAAGAAATTAAAAAGAATAGAAACAATTATTCTTCGAAGCATCAGAAACGAGATTGCTGTTTAATATCGAAGAAATTAAAATAAAAAATTACAGAAACAAAATCAACTACGTGAAAAACTGAAAAAATTGAAAACGAAATTATTATTGTGTTCCAGTGTTGCCATGGTCAAACTCTGACAATCCCCATTCAAAAATTATAGAATACCTAATTATACCCGAAGTTACCAATAATAGTGACAAATGAAGTGATAAACATGTTTTTAAACATGACTTTGCTAAGCAACAGAGCATTCTATTAAAAGGAAAATGCTATAATCTGTGATTAATAAACGTTAAGCATTAATTTATGACAGTTCAGTAAGAATACCCGAAAATCGTTTAAAATTCTCGCCACAGAATAGATGATCAATACAGAGAAGGAAAATAGGGCTGGCTACAGCCAAAACACCAGGCATGTCTTATTAAAGGTTGGAACATTGTCAAAATACAATATAAATAAATGTAGTTTTCGCAATGTAGTTTCAACGAATAGTTTATGTTGACGTGCTGGCTACAGCTAAAACCCCAGCCATGTCTTACGAGGGTTGCCTTTTATATTTCGGGATTAGAGAACAAAAACAAATATTAATCATCGAAAATCGCTTTGTTTTTCAAAAATATTCTCCATGAAGATCTATACACTTCTGCATCCGTTTGAACCAATTGTCGAAGCACGTTTTTCATTCTGATTGAGGTATCTCCGAAACATGCATTCTGAACGCATCAATCGCTTCTTCAGGTGTCGACAAACGTTGACCTCTCAGTTTATCATCTACGTACGGGAATAAAAAGAAGTCATTCGGTGCCAAATCAAGACTATACGGCGCGGATCGACGTCGCATTGTCGTGGTGAAGAGTGATCCGTCTTCGGCGGTTGGATTTCCTCATTTCTTGTAAGACAACTGGCAAACAAATGGTTTTGTACCACTCAGAATTAACTGTTCTGCGTTGTTCTAGTGGTACGGTTGCGACATGTCCAGTTTTTTCCGAAAAAACATGCGACCATTTGCTTGGAAGTGCTTCGTGCGCGAACAACTTTTGTTGGATTTGGCTCATCTTGAAACACCCATACAGTCGACTGCTGTTTACTTTCGGGCTCATACGCGTAAATCCACGATTCGTCACCTGTCACTATGTCGTAGACGTGTTTCGAAGCACCGCGATCGTATTTTTTTACCAATCGACACGAGCCTTTTTTTAAACGATTGACAAATTGTGTATGATCCAACGCAAACCAATTTTTTTGACAGTCAAAGGTTTATGCAATATTGAATGTATGCTGGTCCCACTAATGCCTAAGGTTGACTCAATCTCACGATAGGTCACATGATGATATCTCAATATCAGTTCGCGCACAGCATCAATGGTTTCCGGAACAACTGATTTTGGAAATTCGTCTTGGAGCGAACTACAGCCTTGATTGAATTCACCATACCATCGATAAACACTATTCCTCGATGGAGCTTCATCGTCATTGAATTAAGTTCATCGATGCACTGTTGCTGAGTTAATCTACGTCGAAAGTTGTAAAAAATAATCGCACGAAACTATTCACGATTTAATTCTATTTTTTTTGCCAAGATGAATCTTTTAAGTTACTGTAAACAATACAAATAGCGCCGTATGTCAAAACGTTCTGAGTACATATAACCTCAAAAATGTCAAACTTTACAACAGAGCTGTTAGTTGCCAGTTTGCAACACTATGGTTGTCCAATCCCGAAATATAAAAGGCAACCCTCGTTGTCAAAGTACAATAGAAATAAATGTAGTTTTTGCAGTGTAGTTTCAACGAATAGTTTATGTTGACGTGCATTAGTTTTCTCAGAGTACCTCTTTGGAACTAAGGTCAGATATTTATATGCCTTCTACTTCAAAGGGGAGACAGCTACTTTCCTTTCTGTATTGTTCACCTATTCTGTCCCCGCCGTTGGTAACACTGGTGTCGTAAATACATTAGCGGCCTTATTTGTAACCCTAATCAATTTTAGACACGTTTTCTTTTGCTTTTAAATGGGAGTTGGTTGACCTTATAGTCTACCGTGGCGTCTGCGTATCCTGAATTTGTATCCCTGGAGTGGATGTTATTTTGGAACTTTCAACTGGTCCGACTGAGCTAACTGATTCTTTAGCAATAAACTGTGACTCCAAAAATAATATTCACTGACACTGACAGCAGCAAGCAAAATATCAGGTGCGTTTTAATCATCCGCTTCTGCTTCCGGAATTGTCGGTTTAGTCGTTTTAACCTGTCAGATTAAAACAAGAAAACCGACAATTCCGAAGCAGAAGCGGATGATTAAAACGCACCTATTAAAGATATTGCGCCAAGATGTAGGCAACACGTAATAATGGATCAAAATGACGGAGTTTTCTAAAAGGCACTGCGCAGCTGTGCGACCATTCTCCGTATAATAAAAGAAAATCAAAGTATGTGACCGTGGCTCACTTTGAATGTGAAGGAAATGATTTATGATCATTTATTTGATATCAAATTGTTTAGCTCGAACCGTGGTTATTTAAAATTTTCTGTTAATAATTAATAAGCTTCGTTCCATATTTGTAGCAACACCACTGTGTACATTAGGATTATTACATACTGCTCGCAATTTGGTCAGTCATTTATATTAGTGGATGTTGAGAAATTCGGACGTTAAACTGACAATGACTTGATACAAAGGAAGGAAGTTGTAGGCATTTGTTCTGCAGCGCTACCACTTTAATATATAAGCACCATCAAATCAAGATTCCTTCCACCACAGATACAGTAATCATTTGAAAGGATAGTGGAGTGTTCTTGCTAACGTTGACTAATTATTAGTAACATTGAAATCGATGTACTTAAGAGATGGCGGAATTTCATATTTACAACAAAGTTGAAACCCACTGCTGTAATTAGTTTCTGATTATGTATATCAAATATTTTGTCGATTTTATAAATTTACCTACTATTTAACAAAATAAACCATCATATATGTAGTTCCTTGTTCAATAACTGTTTATGTAATGAAAATTATTTTCAAATAAATTCTACACGTGTTACAACTATAAGAGTTTCTAATTCTGTGCCCAAATAATAACTAATCAGGCAAAACCAACATTCTCCTCAGGGAAATTTGTTATGAATGGAGTTTCCAGTATTTATACTTTTGAAATGAAATAAATGTAAACAAGTTAATTTAGGGCAATATCAATTGGTTCATAGATATTCTGTATGAATTCTAATTGAATTATGTATACCTAATTTCTTTCATTTTCTTATTACAAAACCTTTCATACTTCTGACAATTTATATAATGATAAAGAAATAGAAGAATTATTAGATACCGACATCGTTGATTGAAAATGTTGTATACAGTATGTTTTAGAGAAACTTCTGCCAATTTATAATAATAAATAAATAAAAATATGTCGTACTGTAAACGAGTTCAACGAAATTAATAAATTCGTTTTAAGATATTATGCATTTAAAAAAAAGAGCTTAAATGTTTAAATATAAAAAAACAAACACTTTAATGTTTTTGTGACATTTTGAATATGCCTTTTCCCACTTCAGAGTACCATCCTGACTAATATAAACGTGACGCCACAAATGCTTGATATTATAACATTTTCAGGTCAGTTATATCAAAACAATTTTACAAATTTATGTAAAACTGGTTTTAAATTATTTACAATGTTAATTATATTGTACCATTTCAAATGAGAATCAATATCAATTCACAGATATTTAGCAACATTTTTATTTGATATCCATGATTAATGACGGAAGTGACAGACCTAATTAAAGAACATTCCCTTGTGAAATTCAAGGAAAGATGGGATGAAACAAGAAATTGCGGATTTGCCAGAAAGCTTTTAAGTTATCCTGATAACACTGCAGCGAACAAATACTTGACTAGGACTAGACAGAATCTGCGCCTAGTCACAGACATTCGGAGTGGTCATTGCCAAGTACGAAAGCATATCTATATCATTGGGCTGTCAGAATCCGCAGTTTGCAGGGGGGTGCGAACAAGATCAAGACCACCGAGCATATCCTGTAGGATTGCTCGACGCTCTCATTTATTAGAAGATTTGGGTTCAGCGAGTATCGGCTAACACCGGCCGATATAAGAGAAGCACCTCTTGGCGACATTGTCAACTACATTAAATCTGTAGGTTGGATTACGAGATAGGAGGTGCCTATCTTCTTGGAAGGATGCACAATGGACCTAGAGAGGCCTAAGTACCGTGGGGGGTAACCCAACCTCCACTTGTTACAGATACAGACGACAGAAGTTCATTCAATTTAGGAAGACTTGTTTTATAACTGGATAATGGGATGGATGTCTTATTCATGTTAATTGTTAATTTGTAATGAGAAAACCAATCAATCACGTTTTATAAAATAATTTTCACCAAGTTATTTCACAG